CTGCCTGCATCGTCCTTCTCTGTGTCGGGAGCGAAAGGATCGGAGGCCGACAGACCTCCTACCCTGACACGTCGATTAGCGAATTGGCCGTTTTCGGTTCGCGAGAGGGCGTCGCCGCCGTCATCTCTGCGGGTCCAGGTCCGTCGGTTTCGGTCCTAGGCCGTTTTCACTAAAGGGAGGTTTACTAAAGGGAGGTGTGTCCACCGCCGAAAGAAGGACGTACACGTACATGAATCCACGCTGGTTTCGAGAGTTTGCATTGCGCGAATGTGCGTATCACGCGGCCAGTCTCGCGGTTCAAGGGGCCGTGTTCATGTACATAGTTGGGCGCGTATGTCCTCTGTGGGCTCCCTACTATGGGGGGGTGGGGGCGATGGGGCCCGCGGCTTCGAGGGGCACCGGGGTTCAAGTAAGGGTGTGAAGATGGCAACTTGGCGAACCGTTCCACGACCGAAAGCCCTTGCACGGATTCTGAATGTCACTGACGTGTCACCAAATCCCCACTTCACATGCATTCATTAATCGGCACCTCAGCGAACGTCTCTTTCCCTCTCTCTGTCGCTATCTCTCTCTCTCTCTTGTTTTGCTGTCTCTCTCGTTCTCGTTATCTCTCTCTTTCTTTCTTTCTTTCATTTCGGTGTAGTCGAGCTCAGAGCCCTTCACTCTAACCAGCGCCTGCGAGAGTAATGGGTACTGGCCAGTATGCAATCGTGTTCGAGGTTGCGCACGGCAGAGGGACACTCAACGCTCTCGAGGAAGCCGCCAACGCAGGCGCCATCCTGCTGTGGTGAAGCTGATTGTCCCAACCCCTCCTGCGTCCGGTTGGACGTCCTTCTGCCTGCCGCCCCCTATCCTCCTCGCTTTCTCCTCGCTTCCTCTCGATCGCCCTCCCTGCACGCTGCGCGGCGTGTGCAGCTGTCGCCGCTTTGGTGCGCCCTCGGAGGTGTATAGGGGGGGTCCAGCGGAGTGGTGTCTTACGGTCTCTCCATTGCTCTCCCTTGGTACTGCCAAGCGTTCGATTGTCGCTGCTTTGCTGTGCCCCTGGCGAGGTCATCTTGAAGGAATAGAGGCTGTCACCTCTTTGGGTGATCCCGTTGATGTTGCCACCTGTTCCAGGCGGGTGGAGCAGCTCCCTGGGCAGTTTCCACTGCGGGTGATGGCGAAGAGGAGCATCACAAGTGACACGTGAAAATGCCCGCGACGAGTCTGAGGCCGTGCTTTGAGCGTCGCCCCAGGGGTGCGCCGCGCCGCGTGGCGTTTGGCTCCCGCCCCAGATCCCGACCCCCGGGGAGGCCTCCGGGGGGCCTCCAGAGGCCGTGCGGGCCCCCGAATGGGGCGTCGCGCGATCGGGGGGGCGAGGAATGCTTGGCATCGCTCGGACTTGTGCATTTTTTCTCGGCGAGGACCACCGAGGAGCATCGCAGACCCTCGGGCAACAAGAAGCACGCACGAAGCCAAGCATGCACGGGGAATGGACGTCCGAGCGGTGGCGAGAATGGGGGGGCAGCGAGGGCTGCAGAAGAGGGGCCCTACAAGGGCCCCTGAAGGGACCCTTTTAGGGCCCAGAAGAGAGCCTTAGGGCCCGAATCGTGCACATTTTTCTCCCCCCCCATTAAGCGAGGCTCGACCAAAACGCGACCTGCACCTTCCGCACCTTCTGCGCCTTCAGCGCGGAGGGTGCCGCTGCGGACGGTGCCTCCTCCTCCTCCTCCTCCTCCTCCTCCTCCTCCTCCTCCTCCTCATGCTCGCTTTATCGCCCCCGTTTATGCGAGGCCCAGCCAAAACGCTGCCTCCCCCCACGACCCTCGACCTTCGAGGGTCGCGAGTCAAGCCTGGCCGCGCAGGCTCGCCTCAGGAGGTGGGCGCTGGCGGCGTGCGCCTCGCCGCGACGTCGACGACGTCGACGACGAGGAAGGCGACGACGAGGACGGCGACTACGAGGACGACGACGACGAGGACGAGGACGACGACGACGACGAGGACGACGACGACGACGACGACGAGGACGGCGACGAGGACGACGAGGACGACGACGACGACGAGGACGAGGACGACGACGACGACGAGGACGACGACGACGAGGACGACGACGACGACGAGGACTAGGACGACGACGACGAGGAGGAGGAGGAGGAGGACGACGACGACGAAGAAGACGACGAGGGAGGGGGATCCTGGGTCCGCTCCGTCGCGAAGGCCGTTGCGGAGTGGGAGTCGCACGGGCTCGCCGCGGAGCGCCTGACGTTGGGCATGCCGCTCTTCGGTGCCTCCGCTGCCGGGAGATAGTTGGGCTGCACCTCTCCGAATACGTGTTTCGGGGAGGAGGAAACCCCAGAGCAGCTACAGTCAACCCGCATAGTAAGGATGGGCAACCTTCCCAAGGGTGCCCTTGCATCCCTGCCTCCTCGGTCCATCCTCGGCCGCTTTCGCTGGCCGCGCCCCGCTCGAAAAGCTTCGAAATGAGCGTCCAAGGCCCATGCATCCTTATCGCGCATCCTTATTATTCTGGTTGACTGTACTCTTCCCTCATCGTCACGGCTGGGTTCACCTCGACGTGTTGGTCAGAAGGCACCGTGCGAGAGGTCCAAAGAGCAGCGGCATCGACATCCTTTTGCTTCCCCAGTCCAGGAGTGATCCACACCTTTTGGGGGCGAAAATCACTACCGTTTTTGGGCAGGGTCTCGGGGTGACGTTTTGCAGGTCGGAGTGCTGGGTCGAGCCTCGGGAGCGCCGCGGATGTTCGCTTCGGGGGCGAGCTTGCTATTTTGGGTCTGGCGTAAGATTTCTGGAGAGCTAAGTCTTCCAGCATGACGAGGAGAAGGACGCGGAGAGGTTTATGAAGTTCCAGCCGGCCCCAAGGAATGTCGTTCTGTTTGTGGGAGAAGAGCGGGAATGTAGGACTGTAAGTCCACTTGGCGTTGGCTTCCCGCCGGAAGCGGTCCCAGAGCCCAGCGATATGCCCTTCAAGCTTCAGGGAGTCGCAGTCAAGCGGCGCTCCCGAGTCGTTCGCCAATCGCGAGGTTTCGGTGCCGCCTACGGCGTGCCACCGCCGCCTCCTGCGCTTTCGACGCGCTTCATCTTGTGTGGCCAAATGTCGGGCCAACGTCTGGCAAAGCCATCGGACAGGATGTGTTCTCCCGGCCGGCATGGAAACCTTTAGGGAAATACTCGAGGGAGGAGGGGAAGGAACAGGGGAGGAATGAGTAGGAAGAGGAGGAGGCGGACAAACAGGTCTTCTCTTGGGCCTCTCTGGACTGTGTTGGTGCCTCCTGCCTTCTGAAGCCTTTGGGGGGCCCTCTTGGGGGGGCATCCGAGGGCCTCGTGGGGTGCTCTTGGGTCGTCTTAGGGCTCTCCTGGTCCGTCTGACGCCTTCAAAGGCCGTCTTGGGGGCCTCTCTGGGCCATCTTGGGGGGAGTTCCGAGCCTTTTGTTATTGCCCTTTTGTTCCTTCCCTTTTGTCAATATATTCATTTTCTCTCTGTTCCATCTCCCTCCATCTTCGACCCACCCTCCTCGATCCCCCATCCCCCACTTCTGCTGGCCTGGAAGTTGACACCAACACCAGCACAGGAGGTGGCCTCCACCGGGGAAGGATGATCCCAGATGTTGGTGCTGGTGGCAGTGATATTTCGGCGACCTGGGAAGCCCGGATGCCCTAGGCCTCTTAGATGGGGTCGGAGCAGATGGGGTCGGAGGATCGCGCCGCATCGCCGACGCATCGGCGATGCATCGGCGATGCGGTTCGATGTGGGGCCCGATTTTCTCCACGCCGACGTCGCCGATGCACCGCCGACGTCGCCAATGCATCGCCGATGCAGCTGCGATGCATCGGCAATGCATCGCCGATGTATCGGCGATGCGGCGCGACCCTCCGACCCCATCTGCTCGGACCCCGTGGCCTCCTGACCAGCAGGTATGAAGCCCCCGTGCTCGAGCCTCTCCTGGTCAGCACCGGGAGCCCCCGACCGCAGATTTCAGTCGGGCCTGTCCCTCTACAGGAGGAATAGTCAAGACCTGTCAAAAATAGTCTGGGGACGATTTTTGCCATCCAGGAGGCCTTTCGATGCTGCGTTGCCATCGTCACCGAGATCGCGCTCCTCTTGCCTCCGTGGCGGCCGCCCCCGCTGCCGGTGTTGGTGCCGACCCCTCGGCCTCTGGTACTCGCCGCCCCCCACCTCCCGCCGCCCGTGCCCCCCCGTTGTGCCGTCCCCCCCCCCCCGCCCTCCTGCAGCTTCACCGATAGGTGTCTCGGAATAGGTGTCGATGCAATATCGCCAACTGTCTGCAGGTACGTGGATCTAAGCTCTCTTTTACCTCAGCAAGCGCGAAGCCGAAGATGGTAATCTCTCCTCGCCGCCAGCGTTAGTCTGCACGCAGTCCGGGTGTTGTCCAGAAAGCCAGCCCAAGAATGTGTCCCAGGGAATCTCTATGTTCGAATATTCTGATATTCGGTCTCGGCAACCTGGCAGGCTCTCTGGAACCAGCAAGTGAAATCTCTGACCGCCCAATAGGCGGCTCAAGAGCCCCCTAAGCCATAATGATTACGGATAGCTGCAACTGACACTCGTCTCCCCTCGACGGAAACGAAACAGACACAGTTGAGTTCGCATCCCCAGAAATCTCTGTTGCAGCTAATCCACGAAACAGCTTAGGCCTCTAAACAGTCGCACCCACTCTGGTGCGTTATAGAACGTGAAACAGGCAACTGCGGCACACGGGCGTTAGCCACTGGATGTAGGTTCACTCACTATCCGGTTGTCATCATCATTGTCATCACTGTCTGCTGAATCTGGTAACGACACTCCCACTTTCATGAACGCCATCTTGATGAGACCCGAGATGTCCTTGTTGTTCTCGAACCTTCTCAGCCCGCGCTCCTTCCGCTTCTTTGCGCTGCTCGCCGTCGTCTACCAGAGCCCAGCTCCATGTTTTCATGTACAGGTCGATCGGTCCCGTTGCCGTCGTCTTAGTCAGGCTGTCGGCTAGGTTGGCCTCAGAGTGTCACCACCTCACGATCAGCTCCGTCTCGTTGATGCACTTCTCGAAGGCCATCAGCTCCAGCGCCGTCCGCTTTTCAGCCAAGCTCTGCATCTGCACCTGTTTGGCCAGGCAATCGTAGATGCTCTTCGCGTCTACGCACAGGCACGATCGCACCTGCTTCACGCCCACCAGCATCGGCTTGGTCGTCTTCCTCTCGCTCGCGGTTCCCATCGCCACGTCCGATACGAAACCGTTCAGCTCGGCCCACATCATTCTGACCATGAACAGTTCGTCCTCCGTCACTGTCAGAGCCTGGACCTCAGCCGCCAACGAACTCCTCGCCACACGTTGTAGCTTGCCACTGCGGTGCGAAACCCAGCCCACTGGAGTTCGCTTCCAGTTCAGGATGTCCTCCGGCGCGATACCGATCACATATCCTCCTGTCGATAGCCCATCCGGTCGATTCGCCCAGGCTGCATCGCTCCAGCCCGCGACCACGCCTGCGCCCTCGAAGCTCTCGAACTTCAGCTTGTAGCCCTGGTCGTTCTTCATCTGCCTGATCAGCTTGTTGATCCCGAAGAGCGTCTCCACTGTCGCCATCGGTCCACTGCTCTGGAAGATAGAACACTGCGCCTGGTACTTCGGCATCGTCTGCGTCGCCACCCACTGGATCTCGCCCAGTGCTCCCCGAAGCATCGTCATCTCCTTGTCCGTCAGCTTCTGGTCCCGCTGCTTGCGACGCTCCTGGCTGATGTTGATCTCGGTGATGTTGTCGATGAACTCCTTCTGGTGTATGGTGATCTCGCCGCTGGCCGTCTGCATGACCGACAATCCGGTCTGCTTGAAGCTTCCTTCCTCCCATGGAGTCCAGCGGAACGCCTTCTGCAGCTTCACCTCGATATCCCGCCATCGAACTCCACCATCTCCGGCGATCAGGAAGTCGTCCACGTGGGTGCCAACCACTCCGAACACGTTGTCGTTCTCGCCGCTGAAGACCCAGACGCACGGGTCTGACACGCATCGTTGTCCACCGAGCTGCTCCATCAAGGTGTCCACGCTCTCGTACCACGACTTCGGCGCTTGGCATAGTCCGTACACTGCCTTCTTGAGCCTCACTGCCGTCCCTCCAGGTACTCCGAACTCCTCCGCCAGCTCGTCGTTGGCCTCGATGTAGGTCGGCTTGTCGTCTGGCATCCCTTTTCCTTGCAGAAACGCGGCCTTGACGTCGCCCTTCTTCAGCTTCCACTTCTTCATGGCCGTCAGCTGGAAGATCATGTTCCGAGCTCTCCTCGTCATCGTCGGCGATGCCACTGGTTCTTCTCCTAGCCTAGGATCTTGATAGCCCAACACTACCAGCCTTGCCTTTGCTCGGCTGCCTCCTGTCGCTTCGTCTTTCTTCCAGGTGAGTACCCAGCGCGTCTTCAGAACGTCCGACGGCTTCGGTCTGATGTGTGGCGGCAGCTTCTCCAGCACGTTGTTGGCGATCCAGTCTCTCACCTCCACCAACTTCGCCCCCTTCATCAGACTCTTCTGCTCATCGGTCATGTGCTTGACGCTCGCCTCGGACCTTCCTTTCTTCATCGCCTTGGTGATGTACTGCTCCGGCTGCTTCGTGAACTTGTTCATGCTGGTCTCGTCGAACGCCTCGAACGCTACCTCAATGTAGTCGGTCCCCGTCGGAATCTCCAGGTCCTCCTGAATCTCAGCAGCCGCCCATGCTGCCACGTCGAAGTCCTCCCAGTCAAGCTTGTCCCAGTCCAGCTGGTCACAGTCCGCTAGTTTACCATTGAAGAAGGCACAGTATCTCCTCAGTGCTGGTCCGAAGTTGGTCCGCATCCTGACCCTCCTTTTCGTCTTTTCGAACAGGTCGTTCTTGACTTTCCTCTTCTCGACGATCCGTCTTCTGAGATCTGCTTCTCCTGCAGTTGTATGTTTCGTGGTCTTGACCTTCTCGCTCTCGATGTCATCCATCGACGGCTGGTCTTTCTCGTTGTCCTCATGGGTCTCCGGGACCTGCTCCACGACCGTCTTCTTCGCTTCCTCATGGATCACCTCCTTATCATTCTGGTCCACCTTCATCTCCTCCGGCTTGTCCGCAATGGGGAACAGGTAAGTCCTGCCAGTCCAGCGTCGTCCTATTGACCTCGTAGACTTCCCATGCACGTTCCAGTTGTCGTCCTTGACCGTCTCCTCGGAGCCGTCCTCGTACTTTATCACGGTGATCCTCTCCATGGTCGTCTTCTCTGGCTTGGATCTGAAGCCTCTTGGTGTGAACAATGCCACTCTCGGTCGTAAATGTACTCGAACATGTGCAGGTCGTCCTTCGAACTCACCTTCCTCCCGGTGGTCCTACTTGTCTCCATCTTCTGGTGCACGAGCTGTGGTCTCCGGTACGTAGGTCTCCTCGTTCATCGGCACGTCCTCCTTGTCCACTGAAATCACCTCACTCTTGTTGAGACTTTCCAGTCCTTCCACGAGCGTCCAGGGTGTGTGCTTCTCCTCGAAGAGCATATCTTCTTCTCTTGGACTTGCCGCTCGCAGTTGTTTTGGTGCACACCTCCACAGCCTCGACCCCATCACGACCCATACCTTTCTGGATTGAACAAGCGTCCCGTCGCCTGTTCTCGTCGTCTGTACTCCGAGAATAGTCCCTGGTCCAAACCATCTGCCCTTGTCGATCCCGTGGTGTCGCGGTCCTGCTGGTGCTGGTTGCTTGGCCTGCTTACCACATCTCCACACACAGACCAGCATCCCTGGATACAGGTGTTGAGGTCGTTGATCTCGTGCTGCAGCTGCTCTGGCCTGCTGCTGCTTGAGAATGCGCTCGCCAATGATCTTGGATGCCAGCACCCGCTTGGACAGGTTCTCCATGTAGCTCTGGTTCGTGCACTTCATGACGTCCAGGTGATCCTCCTTTTTGAGCGTCCCCGACCAGTTCTTGTCTCGTCCAAAGGCCCATTGGCTTGGACTGTAGCCGTCGACCCTCTCGACTGTGTTGTGTGCCTCCACCGCTGCATGTACTGCTGCCTCCAGTTCGGTCTCATGGTCACGATGCATGGCCTTGGCGCACTCGAACACCGTCTTGATCGCACGCTCCGCGATGCCGTTCTGCCAGTGAGCCTGAGTGGCACAGGGATCCACCTGAACTCCTTCACCAGCAATACTGTCGTAGAACTCGTGCGACACGAATGCTCCTTCAGGGTCAAGGCGAAGTACGCTCGGCATGCCATACCGATCTGACCAGTGTCCTCTGAAAGCATCCAACAGCTCCTTGGCGGTGCAGTTCCTCGACTCCTGGGCGGGTACTGAAAAGATCTTGACCGCCAGTGTCAGTTTGCTCGCCTCGTCCACGATCACAAGGTACTTCCGCTTGATCTGGTCGTTGCTCACGGTCTCCTTCACGTCGGTGCCTACCACCTGCCATAGATCTCGAGCTGGTTCGAGTACTGCTGCTGGTCTCGGGCTGGGTATCTGGTTCTCGATGCACGAGCTGCACTTGATCTGCTTCACGGCTGCGATTGTCGCTGCTGAAGCCCAAGTCTCCGCAGGATCCTGATTATCACCCTCGGTGGTCGGTGTCCAGTGTTCCGATGCAGACGCATCGCCGCCTTCATTAACTCGTTCTGCTTCAGCGCCGGCAAGTCGTTCCACTGCTGTTGCTCGTCGCTCGTCAGCTCTAGCTCCTTCTCGTGGTCGAACATCTCCTTGTTGTCGTTCGCCAGGCCCATCAGCTTCGGCGGTTCCACAATGTTCCGCCAGATGATCCTCGCCATTCTCGCAGGGTATCTGCCCGACAAGGTAGCATCCTTCCCACAACATTCCGCATGTCCGTGTCCTCGAGGATCTGGGCAGCGTTTGCCGCTCAGGGCCGTCGCAAGCTTCTTCCTGCTGGTCCACTGCGTCCACGGCTTGTGGATTGGCTCGCCCTTCGTGTTGACCACCCCGACCTGGCACCCGTCGAAGTTCACCTTCTCCATGCTCAGCTCATCGAAGAAAGCCGTCAGCTCCGGGAAGTACTTCCAGCCATGGCAGTTGCGTGGCCACTCGAAATGCACGTCGCCCCCATTGTCCTTGACGATCCTGCTCACTTGCATGAAGTGATTCACGATTTTCTTAAGGTTCTTCTTTCGTGCTTCGAGCTTCTTCCAGTACTGGCCATCCTGCCTGCCGATATAGCCGTGGTGGAGTGCGCTGGCTGCCGTACACTGTAGGCTTCCCCAGATGTCTGCTCCAGGGTTCTTCACCGCCAGGTTCTTCGCAAACTCAAGCCCGTTCTTCGTGCTGAGATCTGCATCCTTCCTGGTGATCCTGATGATCTCGGCATCCTTGCGCTCTTCCGCGACCTTCCCGAGCTGGCTGTCCTCCTCCGTGCAGAACTCGATCAGCTGTTTCAGGTAGAGGTCTGTCGCCATCCCGGCTTCCGTCACCTGCTCTAGCACCCAGCTGTAGTCCTTCAGGTTGATTTCCTCCTTGTGGTACTCGACGTCAATCCCAAACGTGATGACGTCGTCGTCCCCTGGGGGGACGTCGGTGTCGGGTCTCAGGGACCCTCGGGCTCCCCGCCCTGGGGAGACTCCTTCTTCTTCCTGCGCGTCGGTGGGTCCGCTCGCCGCTTGAAGCTGTCGCGCATCTGCTCGAACATCAGGTCGGCCTTGCTCATCTGGTCGGTACCCGGGTACGGCGTCTCCTCCTCCTCGGACTCTCCGGCCTTCTCGAATGAGTCCTCCGAAGACACCTCCTCGACCTTGGTCCGGCTCTCTCTCTCCGACGTCGCCTTCTCCTTGGTGACCTTTTCCTTCGTGATCTCTTCGATCTTGATCTTTCCCACGGTCGGGCTCAGAGCTCCCCTCTGCCTGTACTTGCCCGTCGCCCCGTGCTTCGGAATGTACAGCATGACCAGCTCGCATCTCACGCACTTGTAGCTCACCTTGTAGCCGTTGGCGTGCCTCGACAACGGGTGCGTCGTGTCGTGCTCGCCGTAGCAGGGCTTGCCCGAGTAACGATCGTCTTTCTCGTTGGCAGATTCCGCTCTGTCCCAGTCCAGTCGTAGATCCCGACGATCCAGTCTCATCCATTCGCCGATGGTCCGCTTGCCCCATCGCTCTGGATCGGTCTGTCGTCGCTGTCGGTCTCCTCTGGCCCTCTGAGGTCCTGAACCACCGTCGAGGTCCTTGTCCTTCTTGATGTTGCGGTGCTTGTTGCTGTCGATCGGGATGTCGGCTGCTGGCGTCGATGCTGCCGCTGCCGCCCCGGGCATCGTCCCCGATGACCTGCACCCAGTTGGGGTTGATCCGCTGAAATCTGGATCTTGAGCAATCGCGTTGCGGATCGCAATCAGGATCACCGCCACCATCATTCATGATTATTTGGTGTACTTCGCATTTCTCGTGTAGGACATCTGTTGCTTTCATCTCTTGGGGCTTTGGAGTCTTCTCGAACCCATTCGAAACACTCGCAGGCCTCTGAGATCCCCTGAAAGACGTCTCACACGTGTCTGGAGTCACGTACCTAGATCGTGTCGGTGTAGTCCGGATCGCCGGAAATCTCCGAAATCGGGTCGAAGTACTCGCAGTCCTTGATCGAACTGTCGTTCGCGTCGGACTCGCACATGTCCTCGAAACCCGCTCCCGCTCGGAACTCGTCGGTCTTATTTCCAAACCCGTGCCAACAAAATCTTCAGTGGTTTCTGTAATGAAATTCCCGTTCTCGGAAGTCTCAAACGGTACCCTAATGATCTCGGTCCCCTCCTCTGCTCTCACTGTTCTGGTAGGGCTTCCAATCCAGTGACGTGATGCTGGCATTGTCTTCCTGAAACCAGCACCGCAGAAGGAGGGGCACTGTCCCTATTCAGGGCTGGCGGCTGGAGCGGCCGCCGCGACTCTCGCAGTGCCGAGAGCCTGCTGTAAGTCCTCGAGCTTCTGCTTGAAGTTGTCCCTGTCGGTGTTGTTCACCTTCGTGTCGTAGAGGTCCTTCGTCATGTCGATACACAGGTGTCCCGTCGAGATCCGCTTGAGCTTCGCCATCTTATTCTTCGTAATGTTGTTGAAGCAGGCGATCCCCGTCTCGAAGTCGATGATCGCTCCAGCGCGCTTCAGGAAGTCCACTGATCCCAGCAGCGGCACGTAGCGTTCCCCCTTGGTGTTCAGCGCGTAGCCCGACGCGCTCCCCAGATTGCCGTTCGCCTGCAGCGGGAGATTCGTCCAGCACGAACTATGCTCCGCGTCGCCGTTAGCGAACCCGAACTTCGGCCGATCTGTCACATCGACCTTCACGTTGCTCGTGTCGATCCCTGCCTGCTGCTGCTTCTCGATGATCTTCTCGAGCGCCACGATCGAGCCTAACGTCTTTGTCGCTCCGCTGTCGAGTACCATGCACCCCTCCGTCTCGTCTGCGAGCCCGGCCAGCGCGTGCTCCACCTCGGACCCCGTGTAGGCCATCTCCAGGTTGGTCTCCTCGAGCTCGTCGTCGTTGGCCTCGGCCTCCCAGTTCGCGAAGCTGAACGCCAACGCTCCAACCTGAGATGCTCGTCCGTGTGGCTGCTCCCTGCTCCTGTTCTCCGTGTTCTTCGGGCAATCGGCCTTCCTGTGCGGTCCACCGCAGATGAAGCACGGCCCACCTTGGCCCTTGCCACCTTTCTTGCCCTTGCCCTTGCCTTTCTGGAAAAACCCTCGGCTTTGCTTGATATCCTTCACCACGGCCCGCGCTTGCGCCAGCGTCCTCTTCTGGTTCTTGACGTCCTTCTTGGCTCCGGCGATGACCGCCAGTGCCTCCTCCGCCTCCGCGCGTTCATCCTCGTCCAGACCTTCGAGGTCGAGCTCGTCCTCGTCCCAGTCGAACTCCGCGTAGGCTTCGTAGTCGTCTTCCAGGTCGTAGTCGTCCGGAGCCTCCTCTCGATCATCTTCATCTTCTCCAAAGACTCCTAATGCTCGTCCACGGCCAGGTTTGTGCGGGAACATATCTCGCTTCTTGTTGTGCGCGTCGTGCTCCTTCAGGTCCACGTCAGCCCCCTGGTCCCGCAGCGCCGCCTCGATGTTCTTCAAGTTCAGCGAGTTCTTGGCCGACGACAGAGCTCCTGCGCGCTCCTGAGCATTGAGTCCTGCTCTTTGAAGCAGCAGCCATCCCACCATCACCGACGGGATCAGCGTCTCGCGCGCCTCCGTCGCCACCTCCTTCAGCGCCTTGATGTCCACATCGTCGTCCTCCAGGTCGAACCGCGCCATCAGTGAGCACAGCGCATCCGTAGCCTTCTCCTTCAGCGTCACCTTCTTGTGTGCCTTCAGCGATGTCGTCGCCTGTGGCCAGGTCCAGCCAGCCGTCCCCGTCGGTGAGCTTTACCACCAGCTGCTGCCATACCACCAGCTACCCTTCCAGTAGTCGTCGTTGTCGTCCTTCCAGCTGCTGATGTCCTCTGCGCCTTCGTCGTCGCCTTCAGGGCCCTCACGTTCTCGAACCGACTCCAGCGTCACGGACTCTGTCTTCTCCTCGGGCCGCGCCTTCCTTACTAGCTTGATCTCGGTCGTCGTATCCTTCTCCTTGATCCGCCTGAAGCTCTGGTCCACCTTGTCTGCGACAATCCTGCTTCTCTGAGCGTAGGCCTTCATGCCCTCGTTGTTCCGCCGTCGCAGCGTGAACAGGTACTCCTTCAGGTACTTCGCGGCCTCCGGGATCGGCTCGTCCATGAGCGTCTCGTCCAGGAACTCCAGCAATATCTTGTGGCCGCCCGCCTTCTCCAGCAGCTCCCGTCCCTCGTCCGAGACCTCCTCGAGCGCCTTCCACGCTTTGCCAGTGAGAGCTGCCGCCAGTCGAGCTCCAGCCACTTGCTTATCTCGATGTGAAAGACCAGCCACATACCACTTCACACGTGCGCGATACTCTTGAAACCTGGTGACGTCTCCATCCCATGTGGGAACCTTCTTGCCGTCATCGCGAGAGTCTCCCATTTTGCCGGCTGTCCAGGTGTTGGAGCCAACCGGCTCCGCTACCAATGCAGGTTCACCGATAGGTGTCTCGGAATAGGTGTCGATGCAATATCGCCAACTGTCTGCATGTCCAGAAAGCCAGCCCAAGAATGTGTCCCAGGGAATCTCTATGTTCGAATATTCTGATACTCGATCTCGGCAACCTGGCAGGCTCTCTGGAACCAGCAAGTGAAATCTCTGACCGCCCAAAAGGCGGCTCAAGGGGCCCCTAAGCCATAATGATTACGGATAGCTGCAAGTGACACTCGTCTCCCCTCGACGGAAACGAAACGGACACAGTTGAGTTCGCACCTCCCTCTTCCCCGCCTCTCCTTCCCCCCCACCTCTCCCCACCTCTTCTCTCCCCTCCCTTCCCCCCCCCCCTCCTCCTCCTCTTTCCCCCTCCCCTCCCCGCCCCAGCCATGTGCCCCCCCCCCCCCCCCCTCTCCAGCCCCTTCCCCCTCCTCCCCCTCACCTTGATTTCTCTCCGTGCGGCTCCCGGCCTCTCCGTGGCTCCTCCGGCGCCTCGGGCCACTCCTCCTCTCATGCCTCTCCGGCTCCTCTCCTCCCAGAGAGGAAGGGGAAGCGACGCCACCGCCACCAGGGGCGCGGCCTCCAGCGAGGAGGTCCACGATGCTCCCCGAATTGGGGATCGAGGATGTCTTGATCGGGGCGGCGGCTTCTGCACCATCTCGCACCGGTGGTGGCGGTGCCGGCTTTCCCCGTTCCTGCGCCCCTCCTCCTCCTCCTCCTCCTCCTCTTCCTCCTCCTCCTCCTCTTCCTCCTCCTCCTCCTCCTGCTAGCCCCCCCTGCTCAGGCGGTCGCCGACCTGGGGCAGGAGTGCCATCACACTTCCATTATTGTACCTTCAGCATCATTATGCCCTGAGACACGGGTACCGTTCTGGAAAACATGTCAATAAATCATGTGGTGTGACGTTCTTGCTGCGACGACGCAAGTTCCAACTCCAGCACGTAGTGGATAGTTTAGTGAGGGGGCCGTCTACAGGAAGGGGGGGCCACCCCAAAACGCTAACAGCCAGGCCGGGGGGCACAACTAAAATGTAATATTCAAGATTCCGTTTTTGTCCGAAGGCATGGTTTGGAAAATCCAGAATTATGGTTTGTTGTTGTTTTTGCCCTGAAGGGCTGCGTGTGCTTGAATTCAGAAATCGTGATTTTATTGTGGGAAGGCTTCGCTTCTTTCGCCCTTCTGGAAGTGTTGTTGCACGATGAACGCCACGTGCGAAACATGTTTGTGGGGAGTTGCGTGTGTAGTTTCATTCGCGGTTGATCGCGTAGTTGATTTCGTTACTGTTCGTATCCATCACGGTCCACCCAGCAATAGTACCCAGGCGAAATGTCTTGATCAGGGAAGTGCGGGAACATTCCGTGTAACGAAGAGAAATTGATGGGGAAGCCGTCAAACTGAATTTCGTGGGTCAGCCTGGGCACGCCCTGGAGTGAATGCACATTCGCGGCCCTTGCCGAAACAGGCAGGGCGCAGAAGAATGATGAGGGGGCGGGGGAGGAGGAGGTGGGGGAGGAACACGAGGAGGACGAGGACTAAAAGGAAGAAGGGAGGAGCGACGGGAGTAGCAGGAGGGGGGCGAGCAGAAGTATGATGACATTGACTGCGCAAGCTTTCTGGGGGGAAGGAGGAGGAAGAAGAGGAGGAGGAGGAGGAGAAGGAGGAGGGGGATGAGGAGGAGGAGAAGGAGGAAAGGAGGAGGAGGAGGAGGAGGAGGGGGAGGAGGAGGAGGAGGATTGGGCGAGGAGGAGGAGGAGGAGGCGGAGGAGGAGGAGGAGGAGGAGGAGGACGAGCGTACAACGCGCCCACGCGCGTGCGCGCGAGGTGTGAATTCTGCATTGTTCTCAGCGGTCTGGCAACGAAGGGGCCTGGAAACGAAGGGGTTGTTTGGCGGTGACCGAATGGGTGTTCCAGGTAGCGCGGGGCTGCAGCGCGCCGGCCAAGTGGCTCAGCGCGCAACGCGCCCGCGCGCGCGCGCCGGCGCGAGCTGTGAATTCTGTATCATTTATAACAGAAGGGCCGCAATGTTGGCATGGGAGCTCAAGTAGTCCCCTAGCGGAGACCGATTGGATTTCCGATTCACCATGGGTTTGTAGCACGTCGGCGAAGTGGCTCAGCGCGCAACGCGCCCACGCGCGCGCGCGCGGGCGCGAGCTGTGAATTCTGCGTTATCCACAAAAGAAGGGCAGTCGTGCTGTCCTGGAAACTAAAGTGGCCCCCCAGCGGTGACCGACTGGATTGTCAAATTGACATGGGGATGTAGCATGTCGGCCAAGTGGCTCAGCGCACAAGTCGCCCGCGCGCGCGGGAGCGAGCCGCCACTCTGCGTTATCCAGAACAGAAGGGCCGCCATGGTGGCTTGGGAGTTCAAGCAGCCCCTTAGTGGTGGCCGATTTCTTTTTCCAATTGAACATGGGCTTCTAGCATGTCGGCCAAGTGTCTCAGCGCACAGCGCGCCCACGCGCGCGTGCGCGCGAGCTGTGAGTTCTACCCGCAATAGCAGGGCCGCCATGCTGGCCTGGGAAATCAAGCGGCCCATTAGCGGTGACCGATTGAATATCCGAGATAGCTCGAGTTTGTAGCGTTTTGGTTAAATGGTTCAGCGCACAACGGGCCCACGCGCGCGCGCGCCCGCTTGCGCTCGCGCGCGCGAGCTGTGAATTAATTCTGTATCACCAACAATAGAATGGCCGCCACGTTTGCTTAGAAACTTAAGTGGCCCCTTAGCAGTAACCGACGGACTTCCAAGTTAGCAAAAGGTCGTAGCATGCCGGTTAAGTTGTGCAGCGCACAGAGCGCCCGCGCCTGTGCGCGCAGGCGCGAGCTGTGAACCCTGTATTCTCCGCAGTGCAAATCCCGCCACGTTCGCCTGAGAACTCAAGTGGCCCCTTAGCGGTGGCCGATTGTTTTTCCATGTTTAACATGGGTTTGTAGCGTGTCGGCCAAGTTGCCCAGCGTACAAGGCGCCTCGCGCGCGCGCCCGCGCGCGCGCGCGAGTTGTGAATTTTCCTACTACCCGCAGTAGAAGGGCCGCCATGTTGGCCTGCACATTCAAGTGGCCCCTTTGCGGTGGCTTCCAGCATGTCAGCCAAGTGGCTCAGCGCGCAACGCGCCCGCGCGCGCGCGCGGGCGCGAGCTGCGAACCCTGGTCCACAGTAGAAGGGCCGCCGTGTTGGCTTGGAAACCCGGATTGATTTCCAGGTTAGCACTGGTCTGTGGCACGTTGGCCAAGTGGTTCAGCGCTCAACGCACCCACCCGCGCGCGCGAGTTGCGACTTCTGGACCACTTGGTTACCCAGAATAGAAGGGCCGCCACGATTGCCTGGAAACTGAAGTGCAACCCTATCGTCGGCTGATTCGACTTCCGAGTAACCATGAGTTAGCAGCGTGCCGATTAAGCTGTAAATTCTTTATTGCACGCAATAGAGTGGCCGTCATGTTGGCCTGGAAGCCATAGTGGCCCCTTAGCGGTGGCCGATTTGTTTTCCCAGTTTACTTAGGGTTGCCGCATGTCGGCCAAGTTGCTCAGCGTACAACGCACCCGCGCGCGCGCGCGGGCGCGAGTTGTGACCTCTGTATCGCTCACAACAGAAGGGCCGCCGTATTGGCTTGGAAACGCAAGTGGCTCTCTAGCGATGGCCGACTGGATTTTCAATTTAACATGGGTTTGTAGCATGTCGCACAAGTGGCTCAGCGTAAAGGACGCCCACGCGCGCGCGCGAGCAGTGACTTACGAACTATCCACACCAGAAGGGCCGCTATGTTTGCTTGGAAACTAAAAGTTGCCCGTTGCGGTAGAAGATTGAATATCCTAGTTAGCATGTGGTTGTGCCATGTTGGCCAAGTAGCTCAGCGTGCAACGCGCCCGCGCGCGCGGGCGCGAGCTGTGAACTCTGTATCATCCACGACAGGACCGCCGTGCTGGCCTGGCAATTCAAGCGGCCCCGTGGCGGTGGCCGAATGGATTTCCAAGTTAACATGGGGTTGTTGCATGTCGGCCAAGTGGCTCAGCGCACAACGCGCGCGCGCGGGCTGTGCATCCTGCACTACCCACAATAGAAGGGCCGCTGTCTCCTGGAAACTCATGCGGCCCCTGAGCGGTGACCGATTGGAATTCCGAGTTCACATGGGCTTGTAGCATGTGGCTGAACGTACAACGCGCCCGCGCGCGCGCGCCCCCACCCCCGGAGCGTGCGAGCTCTAAAATCCGTACTACCCGCAATACCGGGTCCTTTTATGTTGGCATGGAAGCTCAAGTGGCCCTCCGCAGTAACCGATTGAACTTCCGAGTTAACATGGGGGTT